TTGGAGGGGTGCTATTGGTCTATTGCTGTTGGCTTCAGGGAATCTATTTGACTGATTTTCTTATCATTACAAACCCATACAAATTACTTAGCACCACAAAATGATACTTGGCTGTGTATTCTCTTAAGGAGCAGGAAAAATTGTTTCAAAATCATTATTTGACTGATTTTCTTATCATACAAACCCAAAATTACTTAGCACCACAAAATGATACTTGGCTGTGTATTCTCTATAAGGAGCAGGACTGGAAGGTGGGTAGAGGTGGAACCAAGGGGCTGCGCTTGAGGGTGGGTAGGGGGCAGAGACAAGAAGTGATTCAGAAGGGAGGAGTTCCTGGACCCATTCTCTGCAAAAGAAAGCCCTGCTTAACAGACCAAAACGTAGCAAATGAGAGACGTTCTGTGTTAGGGTTTACATATACTTCAAATGGTATGCTGGTAGGCTTTGTGACTTTCAAATTTCCACTAGTAAAAATCTGGACTTCCCGTGTTGGCATTTTTATCTTGAAGGCTAACAGCCAGATTTTGGAAAGAAGGTGGCATAGTTCCATTGGTCTGTACACCTGTTGTTTTCTCAGGACATCATACTCATGGATTCGCAGAATTTTCCACAACGATACACTACCCGTGACCTATACCTAGAATTTTTTTTTTTCAATTCTGTACTGAGACACTTTGCAGGCTGCCCTTACTGACTTCCCAAAATCCTTGTTACCCAACTAGGGGCATAAGTACAGATCATTGAGCCTCAACCTCCCCAACATCTCCAGAATACGCCTCTTTTTAACCAATGACACCATAAAGCTTCTAATTCACTCCCTGGTAATCTCTCGGCTCGACTACTGTAACTCCCTCCTCATTGGCTTACCTTTACATAGGCGATCCCCCCTCCAGTCCATCATGAATACTGCTGCCAGGGTCATCCACCTTACCAACCGTTCAGTGTCTGCTACCCCTCTCTGCCAATCCCTCCACTGGTCTCCACTCAATGTCCTCCACCCCTCTCTGCCAATCCCTCCACTGGTCTCCACTCAGTATCCTCCACCCCTCTCTACCAATCCCTCCACTGGCCTCCACTCAGTGTCTTCCACCCCTCTCTGCCAATTCCTCCACTGGACCAATGTGCCACGGCCTCATGGGTGCCGTTGAGGAAACAATTTTTTCAGTCAATGAAAAGTGTTCTCATATTTGATATATTATTTTTATTTTATACAAATGGGCAGAACAGTGGGTTAGCGGTTAGCACTTCCACCTGGCCGTACTAGAGTTGTTGATTTGAACCCCAACCACAGCACCACCTGCCTGGAGTTTGCATGTTCTCCCTGTGCCTACGTGGGATTCCTCCATAGATATGCTGGTAGGTGAATTGGCTCCTTTCTAAAGTGGCCCTAGTATGTGTACGTATGAATGTGAGTAAGGGACCTTAGATTGTAAGTGGCCCTAGTATGTGTATGTATGAATGTGTGTGATTGTAAGTGGCCCTAGTATGTGTATGTATGAATGTGTGTGATTGGAAGTGGCCCTAGTATGCGTATGTATGAATGTGTGTGATTGGAAGTGGCCCTAGTATGTGTATGTATGAATGTGTGTGATTGGAAGTGGCCCTAGTATGCGTATGTGAGAATGTGTGTGATTGTAAGTGGCCCTAGTATGTGCATGTATGAAAGTGTGTGATTGTAAGTGGCCCTAGTATGTGTATGTTGGTATGAAAGTGTGTGATTGTAAGTGGCCCTAGTATGTGTATGTATGAATGTGTGTTAGGGACCTTAGATTGCAAATGGCCCTAGTATGCCCTAGTATGCGTATGTATGAATGTGTGTGATTGTAAGTGGCCCTAGTATGTGTATGTATGCACGTGTGTGATTGTAAGTGGCCCTAGTATGTGTATGTATGAATGTGTGTGATTGTAAGTGGCCCTAGTATGTGTATGTATGAATGTGAGTTAGGGACCTTAGATTGTACGCCCCTTGAGGGTTAGGGACCTTAGATTGTACACCCCTTGAGGGTTAGGGACTGATGTGAATGTACAATATATATGTAAAGTGCTGCATAAACTGACAACACTATATAAGTACCTGAAATAAATACATATATAACATATAAATTATTTTTTTCCTGGAGTTCAGCTTTAAGTTTAACCTGGTTAGTGGCATTGATGATGTTAAGGAGGAAGTGCAGGTCACACAACATTGGGGCACCCACTCGTTTTTTGTTTTTATATTTACTTTCTTTATTTATACCATCATCTCTTTTTAGCGATTTACATTTGGTAGTTCACCAGACGAGGACCAAATAGAGAACATAAGATGTTTAATGAGGTTTTTCTTTCCCATTAGACTTTGCAATCTATTATCAGCAAACTCCCGTCAATGGCCTTCCATGCTAGCGAGCGACTTTCAGGCAGATCTGCGGGGGCTCGTTCTTGATTATATCAATAATCCAGTCGATGTAAATAGACACTTTGGTGTAGACTCCTGGCTTGTTTGGCTGTCCACATACAGGGTCTCCCCAAGATGTGATTCCTTGTAGGAATAAGTCACATATCAGGGGGCCTCCGGAGTCACCCTACAAAGAAATAGAGCACATGAGGAACAACAGCAAAATTAGATGATAAAGGATCTTCTGAGATAATATGGAATCTCTTTCCCATATGGAAGAAAACTATATCTGAAATATATTTAAAAAATATTCTTCCCAAATATATTGCCACATATTTGAAATGTTACAATTTTGGCCATATTCAATAAATATATATATATATATATATATATATATATATATACACACACACACATATATATATACATATATATATATATATATATATATGTGTATGTATACATATATATACGTATACATACATATGTATACATATATATATATATATGTATACATACTTATGTATACATATGTATGTATACATATATATATATATATATATATATATATATATATATATATATATATGTATGTATATATATTGCATTTTGAAATGCTTTTTAATTGCAAAATATATGAAAAATATTTTTAAAAATACATTTCAAATATACTGTATGTCTTTAAAAATACAATACATTTTTGGAATGCATTTACAAATATATGTAAAAAAATATATGTTAAAATCACTTTTTCATATGTTAAAAAAATCTGAAGAATATATTTTAAAAAAATATATATTTTTTTTTTAAATGTATTTTTTTAAATATATTCTTCAGATTTTTCTTCAGACACTTCTTTTTCACGGTTCAGAACATTTTTTTCATATTTTTTTTAATTAAAAAACAGGTGCCCCAACCCTAGAAAGAGGCAAGTTCTGCACACCAGGAGTGATGCTGATATTCCCATAGCATGAGAGCAACAGTCGTGGAGACCTTCTCTCACAATGATGCCCTCAATCAATTTAATAAACACCTTTAGCAATGCACATGACTGCAGTAACAACTTTTTGCAACTAGTTGCATATAAATCCACATATTCCCAAGTACAGATAAAATTAGTGGCATTAGTGACATTAGTGGCATTAGTGGTAGTCTTAGGTTTTCCAAGTGAGCCCTTTTTGTGACCATCATTTGGCCTCCACCCAAGGCTAAAGAACTCCTGGGCTAAAAAAAACACGGCAGAGAAGCAGTTGACTCATGGCCATCTTATGGCTCAGATCAGTGGTGTATATAGGTTTTGTGCTGCCCTAGGCAACACAAAAATCAGCGCCCCCTGCAGAGAGAGCTTGACATTGACCAACAACACCCTTGACTCCCACCCGAGACAGCCTTCCACTACCACTGCCTCCCATACACCAGCCACCATCCCCCATGGCAAGAGAGAGAAAGACACCTTCACAGCTCCGGACATCCCCGGGAACGAGAGTTGGGCTGTGCATGCACCGTCATGAAACCCGCAACCTCTCTTGGAACCAGGGGCGGACTGACCATTTGGAAACTCGGGCACTGCCCGAGGGCCCGGGGTCAGTAGGAGGCCCCATGAGATGCCCCTGGTACCTTTTTCATAGGCTTTTTGAGTTTTGGCAAGGACACAGGGGCCCCATGATCCCCTATTGCCCGGGGGCCTCATGAGTTGTCAGTCCACCCCTGCTTGGAACCCACCAGGTTCCCATGTCGTGTGTGTCCCTTCTTCCATCCCTTCTTCTGAGGGTTAGTGCTGCCCCCCCCCCCCCCCCCCCCTGAAAAATAATGCCCTAGGCAAATGCCATTTTTGCCTTGTGGTAAATACACCCCTGGCTCAGATACCATGTAACCCATATTCCTGGTGTGCTGAGCTTGTATCTTTAGGAGATGGGCCACACTCTTTAAATGTAAAAACCTGGCAAGAGTCTTCTCCGCCTTCAAGGTTTCCGGCACACAGCATGTTGTCCGTCAGTGAATCATTGTCATAAAATCCTTTGCAGTCACTTGCAGGCACTGTGGTGACGTTCAGGCACATAAGGACATCCGAATATGTCTCTGAGAAACATAGAATTCATGTATTTGTAGAGTACTTTTAGGCTCAGGGCCAAGGCCATGGACATATTCTTGACTAAGTTGCACGGAAAAAGTCACAGGGATACTTCTAGGTCTGCTTCTTGACCAACTGAATATGGAACTACCATTCATCATCTTAGTCCAAATAATTGGACCCTTCAGTGGTTTGGCCCCGGAATCACTGTACCCCCCTTTCCTACCTTTGTCTATAAGAGATTATTGCAATAAGTAACAATGACTCAACCTGAATACAAGGGATTGGCCAGAATTACTTGATGACAATGAAGGAATCCTTGAAGCAAAATTAAAAAAATGGATTCGGAAATATCTGACCTCAGTATCTACAATTATGTAACCAATATTATCTACTTTATTTTAAAGTCTCACTTTACGAAAAATCCCAAGGTCAGCTGGAGCAGACCAAATGGCGAGGGGAACTGATTTTACTTCCTAGGGACAATAGAAGGCCCACACCCAACAGATCCCATTTAGATGGAGTAACTTTTCACTCTAATAAACAGATTACCTCCTGGAGAAATGGTGGTCCCCCATCCTGAAATGATACAACTGGAGTTATCTGCCACTGGCTCGGTGGGTAAGGTGATAGTTTTCACGTAGTCATTAACCTCGGCTGGGGAGTTCAGTTTCAGGAGCATGATATCATTGTCATACGTGCTGGGGTCATAGCTGGAGTGGGAACACATCTTAACGGCATGTCGGTACTGTTCGGTTCCTTCATAGACCTGGCGATCATGATCTCCCAGAATTATTTGAATATTCCTAAAAAGCCGAAGTCATATGTGAGTCAAGTCATGTCTGAAATCATGTTAGAAAGTATTGACTCTGAGTAATAAGTAGACGTTTTCCATCTATAGACTTAGAAGCTTAGTATGATAGACCCACCTTTCTTTTGTTACTGGAAAGTTCATTATTTTCTCTAAAATTTTGTACTTTTCCTATTTTCCTCAATCTGCCATCTCCGAAAAATGTTGATTCTGTGGCAAACAGATATACGCTGCTCCCAAGTCCTTACTCCTAGGTCACCTCTCCTGAGGGCTGGGTGCCGATGCCAAGCAAGGACTCACCCTATGCCTCAAATTTCAAGGCTAAACAAAAGTGCCAGTGGCAACTGCTGGTTGAAATTCATGGTGAAAAGCTTTATTAGTCTAGACAAGGGGTGTGAATTACATTTCAAGAGGTCTGGTCAGTTAAATTTTCTTCCAGAAGAGATCAGAATCTCATGTTTTTGCTGTAACTCATATATGTAGTAATTGTATATTTATGCCAAAAATGGACCCCCATCACAGTAGATTAGGTGACCCCATCAGAGTGCCCTACCTACACCAGATGTCCCCATCAGAGTGCCTCTTTACTTTAGGTGCCGCCATCAGAATGTCCCCCTACAATAGGTATCCCCATCAGAGTGCCCATTTACACACGGTCTCCCCATCAGAGTGGCCCCTTACATCAGGTGTCCCAAATAGAGTTCCTCCTTACAAACAGGTGTCCCTATCAGAGTTCCCCCTTAAATCATGGGTCCCCATCACAGTGTCCCCTTAGATTAGGTGACCCCATCAGAGTGAACCCCCCCCCCCCTACACCAGATGTCCCCATCAGAGTGCCTATTTAAGTTAGGTGCCCCCATCAAAATGTCCCCCTACACTAGATATCCCCATTAGAGTGCCCATTTACACACGGTCTCCCCATCAGAGTGCTCCTTACATCAGGTGTCCCAGTTAGAGTTCCTCCTTACAACAGGAGTTCCTATCAGAGTTCCCCCTTAAATCATGGGTCCCAATCACAGTGCCCCCTTACATAAGGTGCCCCATCATGATATCCCCCTGCATCAGGTGTCCCCTTAATGATGCCCCTTACATCAGGCGTCCCCATCATGATGCCCTCTTACATTAGGTATCCCAATCAGAGACCCCTTACATTAGGTGTCCCAGTCAGAGGTCCCCTTTACATCAGGTGTCCCCTACAATGATGCCCTCTTACACTAAGTGTCCCCATCAGAGATCCCCTTACATCAGGTACTCCACCATGATGCCACCTTATATCAGGTGTCCCACTATGATGCCCCCTTACATCAGGTATCCTCATCATGATGCCCTCTTACATTAGGTATTCCCATCAGAAATCCCCTTATATCAGGTGTCTCCATCATGATGCCACCTTACATCAGGTGCCCCACAATGATGCCCTCTTACATCATGTGTCCCCATCATAATTCCCTCTTACATCAGGTGTCCCCATTGAAGTGTCTCCTTACATTAGGTGTCCCTAACAGAGTGCCCTCATGCTGTACATCATGTCATTGGTTGTTAGGATGCCACTGGTTCTAGCAATAAATGACTGCAGACAATGGGGGAACTGGCTGGCTGGCTGGCTGGCAGTTCATATAGGACAATCACCCTGTCCAGATCTGGACTGCAGTCCACCATTCAGTGATTGGCTGGTCTAGAAAAACATGATGCCCTACCTGACACCACCTCTTCCTGCATTTCACCCAAAGACTCAGGCAAAAATAAAAACCTAGAAGAGGTTCTAATCCTTCTCCACTCTATTTAAAACTAGAAAATTTTTGAGCTGATTACTAATTTACATTTTATACAAAGAGAAGGGCATTGAATACTTACGACATTTTGCAGTGAGCCGCCGTCAGTACCCAACTCTCATTTATAAGGATCCCACCACAGATAAACTTGTCAAAGTAATACAGAGCCACCTGCCATGGCTGGGAATACAGGATACATTCTTCTCCCCCTATGATCCGTCCAATGGAGGAGGATTCAACTGGCGGAAATAGAACTAGAAAAGGGAAAAGCTCAAAACAATGCTGGACAACTAATTGGGAATCTACCGCAACTAAAGGGGACCAAGAATTCTATGACTTTCATTCCTCCTCCTTCCTCCCCATTTTCTCCTTTCCTTTCCTTTCCTTTCTTCCTCTTTTCCTCCTTCTCTTCTTTCCCTTCCTTCCTTTTATTCATTCCTCATTTTTTCTCTTCATTTTCTTTTCTTTCCTTTTCATTACCTTTCCTTCTTCTTTCTTCCTTTTCCATCTTGCTTCCTTCCTTTCTTCAGTTTCCTTCTTTTTTTCCCATCCTCTTCCTTTCTTTCTTCTTTCTTTCATCCTTTTCCTTCCCCCTTTACCCCCACCTTCTTTCCTTCCTTCCTTCAGTCCTTCTTACTTCCATCCTTCCTTCCTTTCCTTTCTTCCCTCTTTCCTTTCCTTTACCACCCACCTTTCTTTTCTTTTCTTTTCTTCCTTCCATCTTAGCAGTCATGTGTCAGTTGGTATACCTGGTCTACCTATAGATGGCACCTTCATCAGTCAGGTTGGAAGCCCCTTAGTCTCAGACTCCTGCACATCTCATCCCTCCTCACCTTCCATCCCCAGCAACGCAGCTACCAGAAGTGTCTTTCCTTTCCTTTCCTTTTCTCTTCCCTTTCCTTTTCCTTTTTCCTTTCCTTTCCTTCCTTCCTTTTATTCCCTTCCCTTTCCCTTCCTTCCTTTTATTTCTTCCCTTTTTTCCCCTTCCCTTCTTTCCTTTCCTTTCCTTTCCTTTCCTTCCCTATCCTTCCTTCCTTCATTCCTTCCTTCCTTCCTTCCATCCTTCCTTCCTTCCTTCCATCCTTGTTTTCTCTTTCCTTTCCTTTCCTTTCCTTCCTCCCTTTCCTTCCCTTTCCTTTCCTTTCCTTCCCCTTTCCTTTCCTTTCCTTTTCAGTCCTTTCCTTTCCTTCCATCCTTTCCTTTCTTCCCGCTTCCTTTACCACCCACCTTTCTTCTCTTCCTTCCTTCCTTCCTTTTCTTCCTTCCTCCATCTGTCAGTCATGTGTCAGTTAGTATACCTGGTCTACCTATAGATGGCACCAGGGGCGGACTGACAACAGTCATGACAATAGGGGATCATGGGGCCCCTGTGTCCTTGCCCACACCCAAAAAAGCCTATGAAAAAGGTACCAGGGGACATTTCATGGGGCCCCCTACTGACCCCGGGTCCTCGGGCGGTGCCCGAGTGCTCGATGTGTCAGTCCCGATCCCCCCGGATGGCACCTTCATCGTTCAGGTTAGAAGCCCTTTAGTCTGACTCCTGCACATCTCATCCCTCCTCACCTGCCATCCCCAGCAATGCAGCCACCAGAAGCATGATCATCTCTCTCTCTCTCCAGATGTTTACAGCAATTCTGCACAGACCATGCTACTTAACCAAGCTTTGATTACTCCATGAATTATTAACATGATAGAACTTGAGCTTTGGATGCATGCACTGGAAGTGGGAATGTGCCAAAACCCATCAGTCCCTAAGACAAATCTACATCATAAAATGTGAGGGGAGTTATGCAATCTAGAGTCCCTGAGCAATACAAGAAGTTGGCCGTTGACCTGCCACCAGTATACACACCCAGATAAAATACAGTTTTCAGGTGGAGTTGCCTTTTAATTTCTGAAAACCACAAATCTAGAGACTGCACCTCTCACTCTATCACTAAGTCCTGAACACACAGCTGGGGAATTACTGGCTCAGCCGGACAGGTTTTCCCACCTGCTGCTTTCCCAGGGTCTGTTAAACACGAGTGTGACCACGTTCAAGGTTCCAGGATAGAGAGTTGGCACAAGAATAAGGCTCAGTGTACACAGAACCCAGCCGAGATATATACAGGTGGGATGGAAGAGGGTGTCAGTGATATAATGTATCCAAGTACATGAGATCCATGAAATAAACACTCAATTCCTCAACCTCCCACATTACATAATCTGGGACTTCTTCCTCTTAACAGGAAACAATTGCTCAAGCAAACAGCACTTCATACACGTCAACAGTGCACCTATCACAATGATGTCATTAAGTGGCCCTACCATTCACTTTACAAGTCTTCATGAAGACGTTCCTGCCATGGCACAACATACAGGAACCTGTATCATTCCAATAGGTTTGCTCACAAGGATAAAGTTCGATCTTCATGCTGGGAGGGATTCCCTGTGTTCCCTGTTTAACATGCTAGGAGGGAAGAGGGGTGCGCTGTCCAGCCTTCGAGGAGGGAAGAGGAGTGTCCTTTCTGACCTTCGTGCAGGGAGGAGGGGTGCCCTGTCCACCTTCAAGGAAGGAGGAGTGGTGGCGCTGTCCAACCTCCAACAAGGGAGGGAAGGACACCCTGTCTGACCCTGTCTGACCTTCCTGCAAGGAAGGAGTCTGACCTCCAAGAGTGAGTGTACCCTGTCCAACCTCCAAAGAGGGAGGAAGGGCACCCTGTCTGACCTCAGGGGAGGGAGAGGGGTGCCCTAACTGACCTTCATGCAGGGAGAAGGGGTTCCCTGTTTAACATGCTGGGAGGGAGGAGGGAGGAGGGGTGCGCTGTCCAGTCTTTGAGGAGGGAAGAGGAGTGTCCTTTCTGATCTTCATGCAGGGAGGAGGGGTGCCCTGTCTGACCTCAAGGGAGGGAGAGGGGTGCCCTATCTGACCTTCATGCAGGGAGGAGGAGGACCCTGCCCAACTTCCGTGGAGGGGGACCCTGTCTGACCTCCAAGGAAGGAGGAGTGGTACCCTATCCAACCCTCAAGGAGGGAGCAAAGGCACCCTGTCTGACCTCAGGGGAGGGAGAGGGGTTCCCTAACTGGCCTTCATGCAGGGAGAAGGGGTTCCCTGTTTAACATGCTAGGAGGGAGGAGGGGGTGCGCTGTCCAGCCTTCAAGGGAGGGAAGAGGAGTGTCCTTTCTGATCTTCGTGCAGGGAGGAGGGGTGCCCTGTGTGACCTTCAAGGAAATAGGAGTGGTGCCCTGTCCAACCTCCAAGAAGGGAGGAAGGGCACCTTGTCAGACCTCAGGGGAGGGAGAGGGGTGCCCTAACTGACCTTCATGCAGGGAGGAGGGGTGCCCTGTTTAACATGCTAGGAAGGAAGAGGGGTGCTCTGTCCAGCCTTCGAGGAGGGAAGAGGAGTGTCCTTTCTGTCCTTCGTGCAGGAAGGAGGGGTGCCCTGTCTGACCTTCAAGGAGGGAGGAAGGGCACCTTGTCTGACCTCAGGGGAGGGAGAGGGGTGCCCTAACTGACCTTCATGCAGGGAGGAGGGGTGCCCTGTCCAACCTACCTACAAGGAGGGAGGAAGGGTGTTTTCTTTCTAATCTTTGTGCAGGAAGGAGGGGGCCCCTGTCCAACTTCCGAGGAGGGGACCCTGTCTGACCCCAAGGTGTCTGACCTCCAAGGAAGGAGGAGTGGGCTATCCTATCCAACCTCCAAAGAGGGTGGAGGGGTGCCTGGTCTGACTTTCGTGCAGGGAGGAGGAGTTCCCTGTTCAAACTCTGAGAAGGGAGGAGGGGTGCCCTGTCCAACCTCCAAGGAGGGAGAAGGGATGGCTTCTCCAACCTCTGGGGAGGGGGAAGGGTGCCCTGTTTGACCTCCGAGGAGTGGTGCCTGGTCTGCCCTTCATGGGGGGTGTAGGGGTGCCCTGTCTTACCTCAAAGGAGGGAGAAGGGATGGCTTTCATACTCACCGTAAAATAATTTTTTCGGAGCCTATAGAGGGCACAGAATTGCTCCAGTTTGGAGTCTGGAGACCACTGATATAGATGGATCACATATTTTATTGCTGCTACCTTTTTTTATTTAAGTGATAATAAATATATTGAAAGTAAAAAAAAAAAAAAAATGTCATACACGCCATAAAATCATTTTCTTGGAGCCTATAGAGGGGCACAGAATTGCTCCAGTTTGGAGTCTGGAGACCACTGATCTAGATGGATCACATACTGCATTGCTGCTACCTTTTTTTTATTTAAATGATAATAAATATATTGAAAGTAAAAAAAATCAAAATTCATGCCAGCCACAAAAATCATTTTCTTGGAGACTATAGAGGGGCACACAATTGCCCCAGTTTGGAGTCTGGAGACCGCTGATCTAGATGGATCACATACTGCATTGCTGCTACCTTTTTTATTTAAATGATAATAAATATATTGAAAGTAAAAAAAAAAAAAAGTGTCATACCCGCCATAAAATAATTTTCTTGGAGCCTATAGAGGGGCACAGAATTGTAAAATACTTTATAACAAGTGTGTTAGGCAGACTATTTTACAATCCTGTGTCCCTTAATAGACCCCAAGAAAAAGATTAAAAATAAAAAAAAATAAAAAAAAAAAGTATTCCATCTGAAAAAAAAATGAAAATGGAATTTTTTTCTCTCTATTTTGTGTAGGACCCGGACACAATTGTTCTGATTCACACCAGCCACTTGAGAGTTGGATGTATCGTGTTTACTCAGCTAAGGACAGGAGAATATTTATTTATACCGTGAAATAGATCTGACTCATTACTAAGTCTATAACGGATTCCGTAAGCTCTTGTGTATCAATGCGACTCTGAATGTAACACGCCGATCTGTCAAAGTTCTCAGTGAGGAAAGAAGAAAGTCAAACACCATGGAATTAAAGGATAAGTACGATATTTGGATAAATAGGAACTCCCGCCAACATCGCGGTGCTTGCGTACACAACACAGGCACCATTAAAGAGACAATAAATATTTTTTAGAGTTTCCTAACCTTGGATCAGCAGTTTGGTGTGAACCAAGAAAGAAACTTGGATTGCAACTTGATTAATAAAAAAAAAAAAACAATTTAATTCATTGTAAAAAAAAAATAAAAAATAAAAAAATTAATTCATTGGTAAAAAAAAAAAAAAAAAAGAACAAATTTATTTTTTATTGTATATTGTATTTTAACAGCTTTTAAAAGTCTTGATTTACGAAAGGGTAATTTTACGATGCGTTATCCCTTTTTATATTTATCTGTGTGCATCGCACGCTATATAAAAACATAATAAGGAAATTGCATGCAGTACAGA